AAGCGAGCTAGCAATATGAGCCAAGGTGAGTTTAAATACTTTGTTTAGGGTCACAGAACTGGAACAGGCGAGCTGGGGAGAGGAGACAGCTTGGCAGTAAGTGCCTGCTGGCAAGTGCAAGGACCCGTGTTTGATCCCCATACCTCATGCCATGCCGGCCCTGGAACCCTGGATCACTGTGCCAGCCAAAACAGGATGTGGTGGCACATGCCTATAATCCCAGTGCTGGCGAGGCTGAGACAGAAGGTCCACTATGAGTCTGAACTGTGTAGCCAGACCCTGTATCAAAATAAGTAAACAAATAAAAAAAAATTTTTAAGAACTAGGAAAGGAGCACAGGTAGCCTGCTCCATAAGCCATCCTACCCACTCTGCTATCTTCAAGGCGATTCTCTGTTCTGTAGGGTACCATAAAATCCCTGACATTTCTGCTCACTACAGAAGAGGCAGCATGCCAGATATGGTGATACACAACTGTAATCCGAGCTCCTTGGGAGGCTGAGGCAGGAGGGTCACAAGTTTGAGGCCAGCCTGGGCAGCTTAGACCATATCTAAAAATTAAAAAATAATTTTTAGGGCCGACCAAATAGCTCAGCAGATTAAATTGCCTGCAAGCAGGCACAGAGGCTGGGGATTCTATCCCCAGGCCTGCCGTGCCTGCCCACCCCGGGAGCATGCTGAGATGGCTATTGAGACTGGGCATGGTGGCACACGCCTGTAATCCCAGCTCTTGGGAGACTGTAAACAGGCGGATCACTACTGAGTCCAATCTAGTAGTGAGACCCTGAATACCCTTTAGACCCTTCCCTAAAATGCAAAAAAATAAATAAATAAAAATAAAAAATTATTTTTTGAGACAGGGTCTCACTATGTGGTTCAGGTTGGCCTTGAACTCACAGTGATCCTCCTGCCTCAGCCTCCCAAGTGCTGAAATGAAATAAAGAGGCCTGGAGATAGAGCACTTGCCCAGCATGTGCAAGAACCTGGTCTGAGTCCTAATCATATGTGCACACACACACAGCCATCCCCCTACATACGTGCACACGTATGTGAATACATAAAGATATAACATGGAGTGCCTGCTCTTTTACGGTTCTTCAGCTCTTTTTTTTTTTTTACATTGTTTCCTGCATGGTTTATCTCCTCAGTCACTGCCCAAAGGACTCTGAGAAGTTGTAGGAATGCGCAGGAGCAGACCCGAGGCCCAGCTTCTTCTCCAACATTGTGGAGAGGGATTGTACATCACGGGGCAGAGCCCGGGGAGAGCGGCCTCCCAGGTGTCCACGTTGGATTCTTCAGCTCTTTGTTTATCTATAATCTGTACTGTGCCAAGATTTTACCCGTTTCAAGTTCCATTCCTGTTCCCTTCCATTTTTTTGTGGTACTAAGGACTAAAGCCATCCTTAGCCCTTTTTTATTTTTTATTTTGAGACAAGGTCTTGCTGAATTGCCCAGGTTAGACTTAAATTGACAATCCTCCCACCTCGGTCCCTGAGAGTACCGGGATTATACCACCACCCACGTCTTTAAGATATATATATATATATATTATTTGGTTGTTGCAGCGTCGCATTACGCAGCTTGGACTCATGGTGATCCTCCTGCTTTAAGCCTCCCCAGAACTGGGATTACAGGCATGCACCTCTACGCTTGGACTCTGGCTGGCTCAGCCTGCCCTAGGGGTGGGGATGGCACAGCTTGTGGTGCTGGGGATTGAACCACCATCCCTATGCTTGCCTGAGCTTACCTCAGCTTGCGTAGGCAGGCGCTTTAGTCCTTTGAGCTATCGCGCCAGTCCCTCTATGCACAGTCTTATTCAATATTCAGAACCGCACTATGATGTTGGTACTGTTCAGGATTTCACTGTGCAGTTCAGGTTGGCCCTGAGCCCGCTAGGTAATCCCGGCTGGCCTTCAGCTCACAGCGATCCTCCTGCCTCAGGCTCCCCAGTGCCAGGGCTACAGGTGCGGAGCCCCTTTGTCCTGTGGGGTGCAAAGAAGAAGCAGAAGGTTTCACTTTCAGGTTTTTTAAATTAGATAGTTGGGGGGCCAGGGAGATGGCTCAGTGGAATAAGCGCTTCCCTGGCAAGCGCAAAGGCCTGAGTTTAATCCCTGGTTCCGCCAAAAAAAA